TAGAAACCTGAGTTTAATTCAGCTGAGAACTATAGGGACTATTTTAATTTCAATCTTTTCAGTACAAGAACGGGCAAGGTTCACATCTATTGTTTGTGGAGTTGCTATGAGTCATAGTCAGCTTGATGGCACCTACCAACATTTGATATAGAATATTTACAGAGTAATTTTATGTTAACTTAAGTAGATTCTAACCATTTTGATGTTTTATTTGTGACTGTCTAGTAAGTCTCACTCTTGGCAATCTCATGTATTACAGTGTTACATTTTACACCGATCCATGGAGGTTTTTTGGCAATAATTCTTATGGAAGCAGATCACTAAGACTTTCTTCCACAGTGCCATTGTTCTTGTTGTTATGTGCCATTGAGTCATGTGCAATTTCCAGCAACCCTATGCACAACAGCTCTGAACCTTGCTCATCTGTGTCAGTCGCACTGTCTCAAACACACTTACCTCAATTACCTCAGTTACTGTGTCAATCCATCATATCCAGGGTCTTCCTCTCATGCACTGTCCATTCGTAGTTCAAAGTATGATGTTCTTCTCCAAGGACCAGTCCTTCTTGTCAACATGGCCAAAGTATGTGAGATGGAGCTTCAAAAGCTTTGCCTGTGGGGAACATCTTGCTTTCAACTTCTCTAGGACAGGCTTGTTTATTCTCTTGTCAGTCCATAGCATGTTCACTACTCTTCTCTCACCATGATTCAAAGGCATTCTTTTTTCTTCTGTCATCCTTAGTAATTATCCAGTTCTTTGATGCAAGTGATTGTGAAGACCATGGCCTGGATAAGACACACCTTAGTCCCCAGACTTAAATCATTGCTCTTCAGCACTTTGGAGAGGTCCCTGACAGCAGACTTCTGCAATTCAGCTTGTCTTTTGATATCCTGGCTGCTAATGCCAAAGATGTAGATTGTGGAATCAAGCAAGCTAAAATTGTTAACAGTCTCAATCTCTTTCACATCTATCACAGTGCCATTGGACAGGCCTAATTACCAACCATTTGATTACTAGTTGAACTCGGGTTGTTTGTACCAGCTAGGTATTTATAGCAACATAAAATGTGTAAATATTAAACTGTTTTCTAGGTTAATTCAGGAAGAAAAAGAATCTACAGAATTGCGTGCTGAAGAAATTGAGAATAGAGTGGCTAGTGTGAGCCTGGAAGGCTTGAATTTGGCTAGAGTCCACCCAGGTACCTCCATAACTGCCTCAGTTACAGCCTCATCACTGGCCAGTTCATCTCCCCCCAGCGGACACTCAACACCAAAGCTCACCCCACGAAGTCCTGCCAGGGAAATGGATCGGATGGGAGTCATGACATTGGTATGATAATATTTTTAATTCCAGTAAGATTCATAGTCTATTAGCTATCATACATAGGGTGTTTAGTCTGAGGTTTGGGGTTTTTATTATGATTATTTTTATTCCATTATCTAAGAAAATTAGGTTATCTAAGATAATACTAGTGTGTCACATTTCTTGTGAAATGTGATGTTACTTTCCCAAGGTCACATAGGATGTAAATGTAGAATCTAAAAAGCATGAATATAAATTTTCATTGTTGTTAAGTGCCATTGAGTCTTAGACGACTCATAGCAACCCTATGAAACAAAGACCTGAACATTTATCTAATTTCCATCATTTATCCAAATTCATAGAGTTTCGAGAGGCAAACTGTTTTGGAAGTGGATGTCACTCCTGCTTCCAAGCTTCTTTTAATTGGGGAGCTCCACCAAACACTGTTCACCATAGGTAACCATTATCACATTTGACAAATTGGTGTCACAATGGTTAGCAACACAGCAACCATGTTATCTCTACAGCAAACGGAAAGACCAATGCTATACCACTTAGTAGAATGTTTGACCAAAAACAATTAAAACCAGGCCTGAGGGCCACAGTTTAAAATCACCCACCTTTGGCTTGGTAACTTCCCTTTCTGTCTACTAGGACAACTGAGCTCTCTCTATGACTCGAAGACACTTAACAACAAAAACAATTTTGCATTAGAAATCTGAGTAACCTAGAACCAGAAATATATTTTTAGTAAAAACATTTTGATAAAATAATTTAGATATGTTATTTTAACACATATAACAAAATATTAATTACTAATTAATTATTAATTATGCCTCAACTTATTCTTGAAATAGCATTTATAAATTTAAAATATTTATACATTATAATATAAACTTTACTGATCAGAAAAATATCTTTAATATTTCAATTTTGGGTTTTTTTTGTGTGTCAACATTTTCATGTTTCCTCCATGTCTTTATTTTATTTATATATTTTGAATTAAAAAATAAAAATTCAAATTAGAGGGGCACCTGAACTTAGAGAAGGAAAAAAAACCCAAACAAACAAAATAACACATTATTGAGTTCACCTGCTCCATGGCAGAAAGATAGTAATTTTCCATTGGGTTATATACAACCTCTGAAAACACACTGGAGGATCAGCTATGAAATAGTTCTGACTTAACATTTCAGTATTAAAACCAATAATTTATCCAATGTAAAATCTCTTTTACAGATAGTAGAGAAGAAATAATTGATAATAGAGAATAATTTGAATTGTATTCAGTGAGGCTTTTATAATAAACATGCCCATTACCTCTATATGTATTTATATTTTATATGAATAGCCCATTTCCTATTGAGTCTATTCTAACTCTTACCAACCTTATCAGGAACGCTGGTAGTGCAGTGTCTGGGTGTTTGACTACTAAAAGATAGAGAGACAAGTCGAACTCACCTGCTCCTCCATAGGAGAAAGATGTGAATTTCTGCTTCAAAAAGATTTGCAAATTTGGAAGCCACTTTTACTCTGTCCTATAAGATATGTGTGAGTTCTAGTTGACTAGATAGCAACAATTTATATGTGCATAAAGATGTTTAATTCATTTTCTACATAGCATCTTTAATGTTTTTGCAGTAGTATATAATGTTGCTAAACATTGTAAAAATTAATTTTGTTTTAATTAATTTACATTAATGTATGATAAAATCACCTGAAGCCATAATCTATATCTTTATGTATCTATAGCAACACTCAGTAATTGCAGTTGGGTTGGAACCAACTGGGGTTTTGGGGGCTGCAGATTGCATAAGAGGATATTGTCCATCTTATTCCTGATGAGCAGTTCATAGATTTAAGTTACCAGAGAAGAACAGCCTTTCATCTTTCTATGGACTATACCATACTGTTTTGTTATTATGCATCACCTACCTAATAAGAACCAATCTGTAGATGACCCTCCAGTGAGTTTTCAGAGGCTATAAATTTCCTAGGAGGATATTGACCATCTTTTTCATGCATAGCAGCTAGTGGATCTGAACTGTATGCCTTTGACTTGGCAAGACAACTCTTTACCACTAAACTACCAGAGCTGCCTAGGTCAAGAAGTTATAAATAGTGTTCAATGGAAGAAATTAACAAAACATAATTTTTTTTTACATAAGTAAAATTAACCAATAGATTGCATAAAATAGAAAACCCCTAGGTGCTATATAAACTTGTAAAATAATTTCTTTGTAATCACTGACTATTTCTGTTTCTTTTTGTTACTGTCAATCATAGCCAAGTGACTTAAGAAAACATCGGAGAAAGGTACTGTAATAACTTTTCTATACAATCTTTTTTTGTTTGTTTTTCTATATAATCTTAAGTGTATTTCACTGGGAGCTTTAAAAATATATTTCCTCCAGTTCTAGTTTTTTTTTAACATAAAAAGGAAATATGAAAATATTTCAGTATTACTAAATTACTTAAATATTATCATAAAAAGAAATATTTAAAAAAATAAGTGTTTATACATTCTGGAATAATGAATCGATGATGTCAACTAAGTATCCTGAATTTCCACAAATAATATTTTTCCAGAGAATGTTTACCAAAGACAATTACAATAAGTCCATCTAGTACAATATTCTTCACCATAAAAAGTAGTTTACATAATAATTTAACATAGAAGACCCGAGCTCTTTGCTTCTCCAAGTACAACTGAATGAGAAGTGTGCCACAGTAAATGAGGAAAAGAACTATCTCAGCATGAAATATTGCCACCGGGAAACTCAATCAGGGGCAGTATTTAGAATCTCCAACTCCACCAATAGTATAAAAAAGATAAGAAACTGGAAATTACCTACACAAATACAACACAGAAACTGCTTCACAAATACCAAGAAAAATGCCACATAAAGTTAAGGAAGCATCAGGCAGGCTCAGATATTATGAAAAAACATACACAAACCTTTTTCCATAAAAAAGGAGACCAGACCACAGACCCAAAGAATACTCCAGAGACAGGAAACTCAAAATGGAGCTCCAAGTACTGGTACTGAAGAAGCTATAGATGGTAGAAGAAAGAGTTAAAGCTATAAATAAAGATATATCAGAATTTTAAAATAAGCACAAATCAGAGAGAGTCCAAAAAGCACAGTTCAAGAAACAACAGAGAAGCATAACATTTCCATGTAGAATAGCAGGACCAATATTACAGAACTTTACAATATGTTGAAGGTACCTCCAAAAGAACAAAACAAAACAGAATGAAAGAGATAGTAACAGAGAATCAGTGAGCTAGAAGACAAGAACCTCCCTCAATGAAAACCTACAAGAAGAAAAATCAGAGAAGGTAGAAGGAAAATGAAGAAAACATTAGATTATTTGGAATGACATCAAATGAAATAACATAATTAGCATTCCAGAGCAAGGGGAGGGAAGGGGAAAGCATTGAGAAAATTGTAAAAGAGGTAGTAGAAGAAAACTTTGAGTATAATGAAAAAAATAAGGAAATAAACATTCAAGAAGCTCAGCAAATGCCAAACACACTAGAATCCCATCTTAAAAATATACAAAACAAAAACCCACAACAACAAAAAAAAACCACCCTATAACACCAACATATCAAGACATATCATATTCAAAGATTCCAAAATCAGAGACAGTGTACTAACCAATTAGATTATTGTGGTTGTGTACCATCACTGACCTATAGCTGACCCTCCAGGTGTTGTCAGAGTCAGTTAATCACACAAAAGGAGACAGTCCATCCCTCTCCTGCAGAGCAGCTAGTGGATTTGAACTGACTGCCTCTGGGATTGCAGCATAATTTCTTACCGGTAGACCACTGGTGACTAAATTCAGAAAAAGAAGAACCAATGAGGTTAGATGCATAAAAAGGAGAACCAATTAGATTAAGCTCTGATTTCTCAGCAGAAACCATGTGAGAAAGAAGATACTGGGATAACATTTACAGAAGCATTTACATTGGAAGAAAGCAATTGGCAGTACAGGATCCTGTACCCAGCAAGCTGTTCATCAAATATGAAGAAGAAATTGGGTCATTTACCAAAAAGGAAGAACTGAAGGAATTTGTAAAAAAAAAGACCAAATCGTCAAGAAATTATAAGGTAATTCCTTCACAAAGAAATAACAGAGGAAAATTGAGGGACCAAAGTAACGAGCAACAACAGGAAAAGAAAATGTAGTAAAATGACAAGAATTGAACTTTGTCTAACAATAAACACACTCAATGTGAATGGCTTAAATTCACCTAATAGGAGGAAAAGAGTAGCAGAGTGGTTCAGAAAACAAAGACCATCAATATCTTACCTACAAAAGACACATTTAAGAAATTAGGAGAAAAATTACAAATCGAAGTGTAGTGTATAAAGAGACAGACCATCTGAGGACAGCCATATATAATCTTTAAAAGCTCCATAATGGAGAATTGTCCCTGTCGACAACATCAGCAACACAAAACCAATTCCCATGAGGTCAAACATGTTCACTATGTTTCCACAACTTCCCCGACAACAATCTTATTCCCCTACCAGGTCCCAAATCCATTGTGATAGTTCACAGACCACACAGTACTGTGTTAGAAAAGTCAAAAGGCTGTAATTCAGGTTAATAGCAAGTAGAATGCAATCTTCCAGTCAATATATCTTCCTAAATGTGCTCACAGACATCTCAACTTTGAGCCTCGTGGTTTTATGTCAGTGTTACAAAGTTCTCAGTCCTACCAACAATGACTCTCCCCTTTCTACCTCAGTTGTCCAACAAACTTGGGCAAAGGCTCTGGGTCTATGAAGGTTGTAGTCCTAAGGTCAGCTCTATCATATGTCAGGTGTCTGATCTCTTTAACAATGGTGCTGGCAAAACTGGACATCTACCTGCAGAAAACTTAAACAGAATCCATATCTCATACTACACAAAAACCAACTCATAGTAGATCAAAGACCTAGGGGTAAAACTCCAAACCACAATGATCATAAGAAACAAAATGGAAACAAATTTAGAAGCCCTAGCCTATGGTGTTTCTAGGCTTGTAAACATAGCCAAAAATGTACAACCAGGAGAGGGTAAAATTGTCAAAAGGAACTTTCAAAAAATCAAGTCATTGCGTGCATCAAAACCTTTTTCCAATTTAGTGAATGAAGACCTACAAACTGGGATAAATAATTGAAAATGACACTTCAGACAAGGGTCTCGTAACTAAAAGTCCTCCACAAGAAGATGATGGATAGCCTTAATGCAAAGTGGGTAAAAGACATGGAAAAACTCTTCAGAAAAGATGGCATTAAAATGGCTAACAAATATATGGAGAAAGAATCAACACCACTAGCAATCATAGAGATGCAAATCAATACAATGAGATTCCATTTCACCCCAGTAACAGTTGCAAAGATAAACAACACATCAAACAATAAATGTTGGATGGGCTGTTTATATATAATGGTTATGTGCTGCAAATAGGATTGTAAAATGGTACAACTTCTGTGAAAGGCAGTTTGGTGTTTTGCAAAAAAATTGGACATTGAAACCCATGTGATCTGCTGTTAGGAATATATACCAAGAAAACCAGAACTGAGAAATAAATCGACATTTATAGACATAAGTTCATAGCAATGTTATTCAAAATAGCAAGAAAATGGGAACAACCCAAATGCTCATCAACTAATGAATGGATCGAGAAATTGTGGTATATTCACACAGTGGAATACTATGCAGCACTAAGAAACAATGATTTTATAGAATATTGTGCATTTTAATGAGAGAGACTAAAGGGTGTCATGGTGAGTGAAACTAGTCACATAAGGACAAATACTGCATAAGGCCATTATTGTGAAAATAGGAGGATAATTGAGTTATATATGTATAAATGTCCAAAAGGGGAAGGGAAGAAGAGAGGCTTAAGTAGAAAGATGAGAAAACCACCAAGATAGCAGAAGTCAGTGAACAGACAGAGGTGGTAACAAATGAGTAGGAATAATTCCATGAGAACTTGAAGGGAAGGGGTGATAACAAGCATAAATCAATAGTAATTAATCGTGTAAAATACAATCTATATTATTGATTGTGTAACTCATGAGACATATGAATGATTGCAAGCAAACCAGTAAAAATAAAGGATGAATTGACATAATACATACAACAATAGGCTCACATGTGCAACATTTATGACGATGGCACAAGACTGGATAATGTTTAGCTCTCAGACCTACTTAATGTCACCTAAAAAAACAAGAATAAGAAGATTCTAACAGTATCAGAAATCTGTCTTGTTTTATAACTTCTCAAAGATTTTATGAGTCTGTTTCATACTAACCAAACCCCTTGATTTCAGTGCTGAAATAATACAATTCACACTAAACAGATTTAAAAATAAAATAAAAAACTGTTTTACATTGGACTGATATCCTATCAAGCACTTCTTTAGAGCTTTAAAGAGCAATAATGCAAGTTTAAAGACTAAAGTGTATCTTATACAAGCCATGCCATTTAAATTGCTTCATATCCATAAAATAATTGAACAATGAATAAGGAAGACCAAAAAGTCATCAGTGGCTCTGTATTGCGGTGGTGGACAAGAGTATTGAATACACAATGGACTGCTCGAAGAACAAGTCCGTCCTGGATAAAGTATAGCCAGAGGTCTCCTTAAAGGATAGACTTCATCTCACATATTTCTGACATGTCAGAAGACACCAGTTCTTTGAAACAGACTTCATGTTTGGAAAAGTAGAGGATTAATAAGAGAGGATAAGGACAATGAGATGAATTAACACAGTGACTGCAGCAGTAGACTAGAGTATGACAGAAATTGTAAGGCTGGTGCAGAAACAGGGCAGAGTTTCTAATTGTTCATGGGGTTTTAGTTGATTCAGTGACATCTAACAGCAACTGCAAAGAACTATATGCCTTAATTGGGTTTTCTAATGTTTATATACAGTCTAATCATGATCATGAAACTAGAGCATCATTTTTGTGAAAAGTAATTACCCAAAATTAATCTGATGGTTGCTAAATTTGCTTTAATGTGACTCTTTACAATTGTCAAAATTTATAGTATTGTCAATTTTACTATAATCAGAACTTACTCTTTCTCTAAACATTTTCATTCCTATTACATTTTTGTGTGTTTTTGTTTGTCTCTGTCAAAATTCCTGTTAGTGAAAATAGAAGCCTGATAGTTACAGAATTCGGCTGATTACCAAAAAGTTAACTTTCCATGGGAGATATCAGAGGCAATTAGCTGCTGTAAAGATTTACATGCCAGAGAACCCAATGGGCAGGTCTACTCTGTCCTGAAGGATCTTTATGAATACGAATGGACTCCATGACAATTGGTTTGATTTTTAGATTTGAGAGTAAATCAAACAATCTGCAAAATTTTATCCTTGGCTCCCCCCATCCCCATAATCTACTATTTAAAAAAAACAACATCTGCAATGTATTATATTAGCTTTGGTGATTTGAAAACACATTATCTGATAGAGTTATAGTTTTCCAACTTTTCACATCAGAAGTATTTCACTTAAAAGATACAATGACTATATTATTTATTTTCCCCATTAATTGACTCACATAAGTCTTCAATTTTTAACAGAATTTTGTATTCTGACATGTAAAAGTGTATAGATTGCCACAATTACTGGAACAATGGGTTTTAACACAGCAGAGATTTTGAAGATGATACAGAATCAGACAAGATTACCATCTTTTGTACTTAGAGTAGACTTGGTGGCAACTAACACTAACAACCTTTTAAAATGAACTTCAAAATAGATTTGCCATTGTTCTTAGATACTGGATCTATAGTACTTAGGAATTCTTAAATATGTTTTGCTGTGAAAATACAATTTTTTTTTTAGTTGGAATGACTTTACTTTTAAATCTTTCTGAAATTGACACTCTTTAACAATGTGAATTTAAGATGTGCATGCCCGGAAGGGTTTTGTTGTTGTTGTTGTTTTCTTTGTCATGTGAGAACCCAGTCTGTCTTTTCATTTGTAATGAAATTGGAGATAGATTTTGTCTAAATGGCTTGTTTTTCCTTCTAGATTGCAGTGGTGGAAGAAGATGGCAGGGAGGATAAAGCAACAATTAAATGTGAAACTTCTCCTCCCCCTACCCCTAGAGCTATCAGGATGACTCACACCCTCCCTTCTTCCTACCACAATGAAGCCCGAAGGTATGATTCAAATGAGCTTGCAGACTGTAGACTCCCTGTTCACCTGCTTTGAAGTACATCACTTGAATATTTCAGTGTTACAAAATAGATTCTACAAAATTTTACTTGAAATAATTCATGAAAGAATAATTCTCTGTTGGAGTATTCTCCTATTCATTAAACCCGATATTATTTATATTTCTAGTTTAAATTTTTCAGTTTAAATTTGATACATATTTGTGCTATTGCTACTTATCATTACTTGCTAGAGGGAAAACTTAACAGCAATTGTTACATACACAATAGGATTTATAGAACTATAATACAAATTGGTATAAGAACAATTAAGTTCTGGAAGTTTATCACTGCATTTTATTACTTTTAGCAGGCAGGTGCGAACACCACTGTGCATTGCTGTTAGTACTGAGTCTCCAACTCTTCAGGTAGTAAGTTCTAAGAAAGGGAGGGAAAAAAACTTAAAAAAAAAAACAAACCCTTTAAAACCAAATAGGTTTCTTCAGAAAAAAAAAAAACTGCTAAAGGAAATGAAATATAAGAAATAGCTAATTGACTATAGCAACTCTTCACCCTGTCCTGTCCATTTACCAAAATAATCTGAAAACAGAGTTCTATAAAATGAATGGTATAGATAAATATAAGCACGCAGTTTACTTTACAAATGTATTTCCTGTTATTTTCTTAAATTGTGGTATCTCTGTGTACATTGTTTATATAATCTAGCATGTGGTTTTTGTTAGTTTGTCCTTCAGTCAGCTCTGAGTTATAGGAACCTTAGGCGTGACAGGCTGAAACCTTTAACCTAGCACAGTGATTTAACAACAAAATGGTTTCATAAAGAAAACTTGCTATGATGAAATATATTCACTTTATATTCTTACTCCCTTTAAAAGTACTATTGTCAGATTTTAAAAGTTACCAATTCACTCTTCAAAACATTCTTCAAAAAAAAGAATGAATTGTACAGAAACAAAAATACTCAGGGAGCTCTGCTCCCCTATCAGTATGAACCTGTGCTGCAATCCTAGAAGCGCATGTTTTGAATCTACCAGAAACTCACAGAGACGGGCAATCTCCCTATTGCTTTAGAGCTTCTGGGTACTCAAATTCAGATTAATCAAGCTGAATAAATTAAATAATTTATCATGAGAGTATCAAATTATCAGACATAAAAATGATAGTTTATAATATTTATTGAACCTCTCCTGTTATTTAAAATGGTTAATATATTGGCCAGAAATTTAATTTAGATTAACTTCATGGAAATAATTTGAAATTATCATGTACCTAAAAGAGTAGTTATGAAATATAATTAAGAAAAGATACAAAATAACCACAACAGTATATGTGTGTGTGTTGCTTCTACATACTGCCCAGATGATTTAAAATTCAATGATTAGGCTCCAAAACTGTGAGAAAAAATGACTAGGGGAAAAAAAAATCTCGTAGAATTCATCGGAATGACAGCTAAAATTTGTTATTAGTTGTATTTCTATTTTTTATCATGTATCTTTATGTCTAAGAAATAATGATCAAGTAGATTATGGGGAAAAAATTAATTAAAACACCTGAAACACTATGTATATAAATTTTGTAAGCAAACCAATTTTTTAAAAATATAAAATAAAAAAATGTATATAAATGGTTATATGAAACATACTGTGAATGAAAGATTTTACAAAATACAATATTTATGAATGAAACATAATGTAAAGGAATTATATGAAAACTAATAAATATTTTTTAAAAAGAAATGGCAATAAAGGAAAAATATCGTCTTAAAAAAACACACACACCCTGAAGCTAAATAATAAGAGGTCATTTACAAAGCAGTTAAAAAGCTAGTTGCTGTTACATCTTTAGTAAGAGATAATTAAAAGAAAAAAAAACAAAGAAAAAAAATCATTTGGTCCAAAATTAAAGGTTCCAGAGAAAATTTGTAGTCTTAAAGCCAAAAGCTTGAGGAAACTGTACTTAAGTACAGTTCTACTTGTTCTTTGTTTTTTACGTTTACAAGAAAAACAAGTCTTGTGTACAAGGTGGATATTGAATGAAAACAAGCAATTTGCCTTTGTATGTATGTGTTTTTCAGTAGTTTATCTGCCACACTTGAGCCAGATAGCCTTGGACTGGGCAGTGCCAATAGCAGTCAAGACTCTCTTCATAAAGCTCCCAAGAAGAAAGGAATCAAGTCTTCAATAGGACGTCTGTTTGGTAAAAAAGAGAAAGCTCGACTTGGGCAGCTTCGTAAGTATACACGCAGTAGATTTGCACTGTCCCTTTGTTTAGTGACTATTGAGTTTCTATCTCCTCTGTTTCTTTTCTGTATTCTATTCTGCCCAGTAAATTTTATTAAGCTATTTGAGTCTAATTTAAACTGGTGATGCCTGACAAAGATTATAATTAAAGAGTATTGTAAAATGTCCAGTCTTTTGATGTCTTCCTTAAAACCAGTAGCTAGAATTTAAATGATACTAACTCTGTTGCAACCATAAGAATCCTATAAGACACATATTTTTACTATTATATTATCTCTATTTTTTTAGGACATCTACCTTAGCGAGTAGAACTAAGCTAGTTATGGTTATGTGAATGTTCAAAATTAAAATTAAATCATTGAATATATTACCACTATAAAAATAGTGTAGGCTTGGTGATGACTAAGAGGATAAAGCAATGAAGATTTTGTTTTCAGTAACTAATTGAATAAAAATATAAATCAGTACACTTGAAATGTCTCAACAAACATGCATGTTATAATGGATACAAAAAAATAACAGGGCTAGTTCTTGAAATGATGAAATATATACTCTTCGTTTCTTCCTCAATTATGTGTTCTTTCATTCCAAATTCTTCATCTTCATCTTGGTTATTTATTCTTAATTCTGTTTTATTTGTCTCTCTTAGGCTTCTATTTAACTTGGAATTATAGTTAAATTATTAAGAAAAAAATTACTTCCTACTACCAATGATATGGGCTGAATGAGCACTATAACTTTCTTAGTGACTCTTTAAGTTTCTCTGATAATTAAAATGCTAATGCTCAAGCTTTAGTTTGCTGCACTAGCAAACAAAGGATCTCTGCCTATGGTGTACATGTCTTCAAATTTAAGACCACAGTATTATTTAAAAACATTTTTTCCTGGTTTCCAAAGTGTAAAACCCACACAAAACATTAGAAGTCACAGGAAAGTGAAGTATAGCCAGCTGTGTGATTAAGTGTTAACAAACAGGAGCATTAAATCCTCTTAGAAATTGTATTTTGCAGCAAAGGAACTCCCCAGACTATAAAAATAACCTATGGCTGCATAAGGGAAAATTGACAAACTGATTTTTTGAGGGAAAAAATACTCTTGCTAAGATATTGTTTTAAAGTTTCTATGTTATTTAGCAGTGGACTATAACTTTTACATTTTCAAATTATTTCCAGTATCAATATATTATCTCATGATTCATAGATAATAGCATCACTAATAAAATAACTGTTTTTCTAACACATTCATTTTGTTTACTCATATTAACATACATATATTTAATCTCATTTGTACATTAGCAGAACAAGTACAGTTTTCCTCTTAAAGTGGATTTAATGGATTCTTCTTACAGGATTTTTATATTTTTGTTTCAATTACTTTTGATAGGAAACTGAATTATGAGCAAAATATGTAACAATACTGACAAAACTCACGGTACCAAAGATATATTTTGGAGCCAGAAACATAGAATTCTTTGTGAATAAAGGGTATGTTTTAAGTTTAGAACAGATACAAGGTGCATAAATTACATATTAAACAAAATTGCATTGTTATTGAGTCAGAAGTGACTCATTTCAGACCCTCTGTTGAGTTTTCACCTCAGTAAATTACATGGAAGGAGCTTGTCCACATGTCTCCCCTGGAGCCATTGATGGATTTGAACTGCCAGAGAGGTGTAGCTTTTGGTATTTCCTCTACAAAATGTACTAGACCAAGAGATCTCTAATTATCAACCCCCTTCCAAGTCGGACACTTGCAAAATTATATCTGGAATCATATCAGATATCTAGAAAGATTTTTGATTATGGAAGGAAAGTAGAACGTGAAAGTCAAAGCATGTGCCATGAGAGAGATTTTAATTTTTATGATTGAGACAAGGACAATAGCTATACTTCTGAACTACATGAATGCTACATAGAGGCTGAATCAAAATTTTTGAGAAACAAAGAATAAAAAAGATTTATTATAAATAAGACTCAGAAAAATAAGGTTCTGGTATTTACATATTTACACCAGAAGAAAATGATCATGTGATTCAAAGGACTTTGTTGAAAGGGGTACAGGCTCAAGTGTGCTTTCACTTATCCAGATTGTGATAGGAACATCATGGAAACTTGTCAGACTCAGGGACTGCAACCTAATTGTGACAATTATATATATCAAAATAAACAAAGAAGGCATCTATAGTAATCATCATTTTTTAAAGTCTTTATCTGTACATTTTAAATGCACCGAATTGCTAACATTGATTCTCCTACTAATAAAAATAAAAGATCAGAAAGGATAGCATGGAACATAATGTGGAAGAGAATGGTGGCTACTGTCTTAGTTATCTAGTGCTGCCATAACAGAGCTACCACAAAAGACTGGCACCAACAAATGGGAATTTAACTCGTTACAGTTTGGGAGGCAGGAGGTCTAAATTCAGGGTACCAATTCTAGAAGAAGATCCTTTCTCTTTGTCCTTTCCTTCAACGTGTGTTGTCCAGGAGTTCACTGAAGATCTCCATGTGTTTTGATCTTCCTTGTTGTCAAGTAACTTCCTTGCACAGAGACCTTTACCCAAAGGACTCTACTCCTGGTGATAATTTTTTGGTGGTGCTGAGGTGCTTTTCCTCTATTTTGTTTCTTCCTCTGTTACCAGATGAAAATGCTAGAGGACGCTCTGTGGGGTAACTCTTCTAATGTCAGATCAGGACTAGAATATCATTGAAGAGTCTTAAATTTTGCTCTTAAACCTTTTATAAATATTTGACTAAACAGATCATGGGAGCTCACTCTACGTTTTCTACATTATATCATATATTTTGGTGGACAATGTCAGTGGCAAAATTTTATATTTTGAATCAAGTCCCATGTTTTTGAATATCCATTTACAAAACAATTTACTTCATATGGCAGAAAAAATATACATTTGTTTTGAGTTAAATATAAAATTGAAATTATTATCACCAATCTTGGATACTTTGCCTGAAATATACTAATTGTTCGGTTAGTGGACTTAATGAAGAAAGAGAACGAGAGAAAGCTTAATGCAGCTTTATTAAAGGGGGGGAAAGGGAGCTCCCAGGTGAGTTCCTTCTCCTGGAGAGGCAGAATGGAAAGTCACACTGTGAACTTACTGAGGAGGATTTTTATAAAGAGTCTTTAGGGAGGGACATTCCATGCTGACTTAGAAGCCACCTGCTAGCTCAGCCAGACAAGCAAGTGCCTTTGCCCTTCTTATCAGCAGCAGGCAAGGCCATCAACATTTGAGTTCTTCTTCTCTTTGGCCCCCTTTGCCCAGACGTAACAATAATATGGAAGAAAATCACATAATTGAGAATGAAAATGTTTACTTGGTTTGATCATAATTCATAAGCAACAAGGGAAATGTCTCAGAAATTTACACAGGAAATTGAAGAGAAGATATTGTTTTTGAGAGGTAATGAGAAAAAGTTGAAATATGAGAAATTTATTTATATGCTGTTGTTCTTGATTACCTTTGAGTTGAGCTCAACACATAGAGACCCTAAGAATAAAAGGCCTGAAGCCCCTCTACAACTATCAACATTTATCAAAGTTCAGAGCGTTTCCGGAGGCAGAGTTTCTGGTAGTTTAGGAAGTGGATGTCGTTCCTGCTTCCAAATCTGTCATAGTGTTACTGTTCTTATGTGTCACTGAGTGGCCTGCAATGCATAGCAACATGCCAGTCTCACTAATTCTGACCCATCAACCCCTATTGCCTTAGTTACTATATCAATCCATCTCATCTGGGAATCTCTCTCTCCTGCACTGTCCATTCACCTTTCAGAGCATGATGTCCTTCTCCAAGGACCGATCTCTCTTGGCCACATGCCCAAAGTGAGGCAGAGCTTCAAAATCCTAGCCTCCAAGGAGAGACTTGGTTTTACCCTTACCAAGACAGATCTATTTGTTTTCTTGGCAGTCCACAGTATGTTCAAGACTCTTCTCCAGCACCACAACTTGAAGGTACCTATTCTGTTGTCCTTAGTCATCATCCAACTCTCTGAAGCATGACAAGTAATCGAGAAGACCATGGCCTGGCACACCTTTGTATCTAGACTGGCATCATTGCTCTTCAGCACTCTGTACAGGTTCATGACAGCAGATTTTCTCAATGCAATTCGTCTTTTGATTTCCTGACTGCTGGTGTTAAGAGTGTTGATTGTGAATCCGAGCAAGCTGTAATGGCTAACAGGCTCAATCTCTTCTCCATCCAATATGGTCCAGTGGCAAAAATCTTTGTCTTCTTGATGTTGAGATTCAATCTATATTGACAACTACAGTCCTCGACTTTTACAGCAAGTGGTTCAAGTCTTTTTTAGTTTCAGCAAGCAAGATTGTCATTTACATATCATAGGTTGTTAATAGCCTTCCTCCTATCTTGATTTTTTTAATCTTTGTCTATATGACTTCATATATTATTTCCATTCATGTATAAATAAAAGCCAGTATAAACTGTATATTTTATAAATCTGTTAAAGTAGCGGCAATGTAAGTATGTTATTGTTGTTGTTGTTGTTATATGCCATAGATTACAACTCATAGAGACCCTGTGAGCAAAAGCTCTGAACCTTGTCCTATCCTGAGCCAATTTCATTTTCTCTGACACACCTAATCCCGTTGAAACAGTCACTGTGGTGTTCCATCTCATCCAAGATCTTTCTCTCTTTCACTAATCTACTCTTCCAAACATGATTCCCTTTTCTAAGAACTGGTCCCTCTTGGTAACATGTTCAAAGTATGTGAGACAGGATCTCAAAATCCTTGCCTCCAGAGAGCAAGATGGTTTTATCTTCTCTGGGACAGACGTTCTGTTGGTAGACTTTGATATGCTCAATACTCTTCTAGCGCCTCTCTCAAAACTCAAAGACATCAATTACTCTTCTGTCTTCCTTATTCATTGTCCAGCTCTCAGATATATAGCAAGTCATTGAGAAGGCTATGGCTTGGATCAGGCACACCTTAGTCTTTATGCTGACTTAGTAC